TTTTAATTTTTTATTATTTAATGCCAATGCTGTTTTCTATGCTTGTTTTCACTTAATACTTTGGGATACTGGTACTATGTCGGATTTTATGAGGCTTGCCAGATTGGAGAAAAAAGCTGTATTTGTCTGTTTTTTTCGTGGTATTGATGAAGGTATTTGATTGGGGAATGGGGATACATTTTCTTGATGGCAAATTAATTCATCAATAAATGTGGGGAAACAAAAGACCTGCAAAAAAAACATCTGTTTGGTTTAAATTCCCCTGGTGCAACTGCATGGTATTTGCAACTATAACGAGTCTGGACTTAGATAAATTAAGCCATATCAATGCAGTTAAACAGGTTCATGTAAAATAATGAGTTCTGTTGGCTTACACTTTAGCACTTCCAAGGCCGTTTCATTATGAATATTACGGTTGTGTCAATCATGTTATATACTTAGGCTATTGTAACAAGGCATATGCCAGCATTGTAGGCCTACTGCCTCTGCCCAGAGGCCTACTGGTCTTTCATTGCAATGGCCGTTAGAGCTCACTTTCTTCCGCTACATTGGTGGCAGCGTTGGGATCACGTCCGTCTCACGTCTAGTTATGTGATCTAGTGGTGGGAAACATTCAGTTTTTCAACATTGTGTTGGGTTTAATTACATTGATATATTTAGTGAACAATGGATAAGCTACAATGGGCGTGGCGGATAGAAGTAGTCACTACAGGTGTGATAAAGCCTTACATCAAAGTTGCCTGAAGCTGAATGGAAAGTGCTATGCCCTGACCAGTTATTCAGAAGAAAATCATCTGTGACTTGTATCATTATTATAATGCTGTGAAACCCATAGCTCAATGGCTTTAGACTGAGCATTTCTCAATGGAAATCTCTGCTGACAATGAACATAGTTTAGGGTTAGGGTATTTAATTCATTTCAGACTCTCCTATGCCACTATTCCCAACATCTTATACCCCATAGGTTGTAAATAAACCCTTTTTAAGGTTATATAACTTGTATCATTATTATAGGGCTGTGAAACCCATAGCCGAATGGCTTCAGACTGAGCATTTCTCACCATTTATTTACGGAGAGCAATTTCCGTTTAATAGCAGGTAGTGTCCATTTATTTACAGTAGTGTGTTGATAAATTATTGCTTTCTTCAGCGGAAATACAGAATATGTATAAAAATGCTAACCATACCAAAAGCTAAATCAAACAGAGATTTACGACTATTTAACCATGTTAATCATTACTGAAACATGCAAACTACAAACATTTAACCAGTTAAAGATAATGAATACATGAATCTAGATACAAATATTTTATAAAAATAATTAATACAAAAGTCAAGAGTTGGCTATAACACGAGTACAATCAAAGTGAGTGTGGGTAAGTGTTTGTGTGTGTGTGTGTATTATGGTGTGTATTATAATTTCCCATCATAAAAATGTATCTCCATTCCCCAATCAAATACCTTCATCGATACCACAAAAACAAACAAAAAAATCTGTATTTTTTCTCCAAATTGGCAACCCTCATAAAATTCGACATAGCCTTGTATAAAATCAATTATGAAAGAAATGGTGTAATGTACACGAAAAAGTGGAGCCTTGTATTAAATACTTTTATGAAAAAAATTGTGTAATGTAGGCTGCACGAAATATGAAATGTGTTATGAGGAAAATCGTGAAGGCTTACTGTTGCCTACATGGAAAAAGGGCCTTTCTGACTACAAGTGCACCAGTATCCCAAAGTATTAAGCGAAAACAAGCATAGAAAACAGCATTGGCATTAATGAATAAAATAAAAAGTAAGGCTACTATTATATTATAATTATTTCGGTGACAATCTGGTTGATTAATAATATTGGGTTGTTAACATGTTTTTCTTTTTATATAAATAAATGTGGGACACAAAAAAAAGGCAGTGTAGAAAACCATTGCCCATCATGCATTGCTCTAATAACTTTCAAAAGATTGTTCCGAAGTTTGCCCCCCAAAAATGTATTTTCCTATGAATTAAGTCGCACAAAAATGTATATCTTTTCACACTAAAGTAAGCCACACAAAAACTGCTGAAATACTTTGTGTATATATTTGCACGAATTGAGTGTGAGATTGTGTTGCTACAAGAACACAAAGCTGTAGGCTACATTTCAAGCTGTCTTTGAAAAGCCAGTCAGGTAAAAAGCTTATGTCTTAATTAAATGGGCAGTGTTGTATTTTGAGACAGGCTTGAATATGCAAATAAGCCAATAGGCAGAGGGGTAGCCTACATTGTCTAATTCTCTGTATAGTAAAAAATTATTCATAGTATTTTGTAAAGTGGTTTCTTGCATCATACAATACAATGCAATTTACAGTCACCTATTTGGCCCATGGTGTTACAGACCTAGTAAAAAATCATTAATTAATGTCAAGCCCTGCATAATTGTTTTAAAAATTGTTTAAGTCTCATGCAATGTAGGCCTGCATTGAACACAACATATAGGCTACTGTAGGCTATATCATAGAAATCAAAAGCTATTTCCATGTGAACATTTTATGTGATTTGCTCCATTGGTTTTGTTGGTAGGCCTACATTATGCTCAAAGTACCACTCTATCCATTTCACAACTACACTACATGATCAAAAGTATGTGGACACCTGCTCATCGAACATCTCATTCCAAAATCATGGGCATTAATATGGAGTTGGTCCACCCTTTGCTGCTATAACAGCCTCCACTCTTCTGGGAAGGCTTTCCACTAGATGTTGGAACATTGCTGCTGGGACTTGCTTCCATTCAGCCACAAGAGCATTAGTGAGTTCGGGCACTAATGTTGGGCGACTGCCAGATGGTGAAGCGTGACTCATCACTCCAGAGAACACGTTTCCACAGCTCCAAAGTCCAATGGTGGCTAGCTTTACACTACTCCAGCCGACGCTTGGCATTGCGCATGGGGATCCTAGGCTTGTGTGTGGCTGCTCAGCCATGGAAACCCATTTTATGAAGCTCCCGACTAACAGTTCTTGAACAGTTAATGTGCTGACGTTGCTTCCAGAGCCATTTTGGAACTCGGTAGTGAGTGTTGCAACTGAGGACAGACGATATTTACGCGCTTCAGCAATCGGCGGTCCCGTTCTGAGAGCTTGTCTGGCTTACCACTTTGCGGCTGAGCCGTTGTTGCTCCTAGTCATTTCCACTTCACAATAACAGCACTTACAGTTGACCGGGGCAGTTCTAGCAGGGCAGAAATTTTACGAACTGACTTGTTGGAAAGGTGGCATCCTATGACGGTGCCACGTTGAAAGTCACTGAGCTCTTCAGTAAGGCCATTCTACTGTGAATGTTTGTCTATGGAGATTGCATGGCGGTGTACTCGATTTTATACACCTGTCAACAACGGGTGTGGCTGAAATAGCCGAATCCACTAATTTGAAGGGGTGTCCATATACTTTCGTATATATAGTGTACCTTTCGACGTCATGGCCAGCAGTTTGCAATATGACATTTCTGCTGGACAATCACAAAGTAGCCTAATACAATGATAGTAATGATCACTTAGGTGCCTGGAGTGTCACAAACGATATGAACAGGATCAGATGTCTCTTGATCTATTGTCTTTATACTATACAAACTCACTGTATGACTTATGTTCTTCATTCACTTATTAGGGCCCCACTCAATCATCTGGTCACAATTGGTTACTTCCAGGATTAGATCAATCAACACTTTTCTTGTACTTCTGGTTCTAATCATTTATGACCATGTTAATGAAGCAAAAATAATTTGATTGGATATTGATTCAAATATGATTCTGGCAGTGCTAGAAAACTGTTTTGCCTTACCCTGTAATCTCCTGATTGAATAGGACCCCTGTTATTTTAATTAGGCCAAATGCTTACTACTGCTGTTGTGAAGGAATGCAAAGTTTCAACTGAAGGTGTACTTTTTCCAACTACCTAAGGAATTTGTGGTCATTTGTCGCAGTTATCATCAGAGTATGGTCATACAAATAAGATGTTAATTTCTGTTTTTTCTCCGAAAGATTTCTGTTTAGCCTAAATACTAAAATAAAATGCAGGTACTTACCAACACCCTCCTTCACACAACTGACTCCAAATCTGAGTAACTGTCTGTTAAATGGAATCTTTGATGTCATCTGCATTGTGATATCATCATTTATGACCATGGCATTACCACTCTTAAGGGTCCTGAGCCCTGTGCACAGTTGCATAAAACACCTTGAATGAACATTTTGCTCAAAATCATTGGTTGTCACGTTTAAATATTTCCTGTGAAAGTAAATTATTATATATAAAAAAATAAAAAATAAATTACCTTTGCTGTTCTCTAAACAGCAAAGATATTTGCTTCAAGTAACTCCTAAGCAACCTGTTTAGCGACTATAGAATTGACCCCAGCTCTGGCCAAGTGTAACCAACATTGTATTCTGACTTTAGTCAACCTTGTTTTCAATTTTAACTCTCTGCAGCACTGTCTCTTTTTATCTAATTGTGGGCTTTTTCTGTGGAAACTGTTCTCTGTAACTACATTTCATGAAATCTATTGCTTTCTGATGAGTGGAAAGAGTGGAAATGTGTACTTTGTACACTTTACTGTAAAAATATGAGTATAAAGTATTTGACATTTTGTCTATCACTGACTGTCGTGCTCTATATGTGTAATTCCTCCCTATGGTATTAACATCATTGTGATGTTTGTCCCCAGACTGTGATGTCGCCACAGCCGGGTCAGGAGGTCCAGGTAGAGCTGTATGATAAAGACATGGACAAGGATGACTTCCTGGGCAGGTGAGAAAAACTGCTTTTGTGTCCCAAATGGCACTCAATTCTCTATATAGTACACTATTTTAACCAGAGGCCATAGGGCGCTGGGCTGGTACTCAGCCGATGTCCTGTACTGTTTTGTTAGCCTGTTGTTGTCTTGGTTTGAAGCATCCTTTGTAGTTCCCTGTAAGTGTTTAGTTTAATTTCTGACTACAATGATGCTACATTTTTGTGTACAGGTGTAACATCAGTGTGAGAGACATCATACACTCCCAGTATACAGACCAGGTAAGGTTTACATGTCTCCCTCTTCTCTTGTACTAAATAATGTCTGTACTCTCACATTGGAACACTCATCTTCATAATGTATTACTTTTAGTTTCAGAACACTCTATCTGATGTGTGATTTGTGTCTGTTCCAGTGGTACACTCTGAATGATGTGAAGTCTGGTCGTGTTCACCTGGTACTGGAGTGGGTACCTACAGTATCAGAACCAGACAGACTGGATCAGGTCAGTTCTATTTCTCTCCTCTCTGTCTCTACAAATGTTGTGTTTTTCCCCCTTCTACTTTTGCCCTATCTCTCATTCTATTACTAGTTTTTAACCTTTTAACCATCTGTTTTGATGTTATTCCAATGTGATTTAACTCTGACCTCCCCATGTTCCAGGTGCTGCAGCTGCAGTCTCTCCAGTCCTACCAGAACAAGGCTGTTCCCTCTGCTGCTCTCCTCTTCGTCTACATGGACAGAGCCCACTCACTGCCTGTGAGTCACCTCAGACACTGAGCCACTTTGAACTTATGAACCCTGGCATTGGGTTGTTGTCATTGGGTCTGTTGTCTTTTGCAGCTGTAATATGGGTTAAGCACAGATGTTGCTTTTTTATTTTGTCTAGTGTCTCCCATTTGACTGTTGTATTGTGTGATCTTTGTGTTTCTAGTTTAAGAAGAGTGGGAAGGAGCCAAAGGCTGGGGCTGAGCTAGTTCTGGGGAAGACAACCTACAGAACCAAGGTGAGATACAGTACATGTAGCTAGCGCTGAAATGTTTGACTTGTAACAGGATCTGCCGTGAAAGTAAACGTATTTGTCTCTCTGAAGGTGTGTGATCGCACCAACTCCCCCCAGTGGGATGAAGCTTTCTACTTCCTGGTTCGTGACCCCAGAGAGGAGATACTCATAGTGAAGGTGAGAGTTCAGTCTGCTTTAGGATGGAGTCGCTAAACATGGATAATGTAATGATCTAAACAATCTAAACATAATGTCACTCACAAGGGGTGTAACGGTACACGTATTCGTACCGAACCGTTCGGTAAAGGGACATCTGTTCGGTCCGCACTGTGAACCCGAATGAATACATAAAAATAAAAAAATGTACAAAATAAAAACACTAGGGTTATATACACTGCTTTGTAGGCTTATGCCTCTTGAGTAAATCTGAGCTGATAAAATATTTCAGGCTATTCCATTTAAACAACTAGAGCTATGCGCACATTGTAATCAAAATTAAAATCTTAATTGGCGCATTTCAAATTGTCCTTTTGTGAGGCGCAGACGGGAACTAGTTCTGTACGATGGCGAGTGGTGGGGTCGATAAACCAGAATTCGAGGATCCTCAATCATCATTTAAATCTCCAGTTTGGGAACATTTTGGATTCCCAGTAGATTACAACGGCGATGGACAGAGAGTTGTGGATAAAACATTAACAGTATGTCTTTACGCTCAACGAGAATAGCCTATGCAGCTTCCAACACCTCAAATATGTTGACACATTTACGCCGACATCACCGCAGTATACCTGAGTAAGACAGAAATGCAAAGAAACAACATCACAACATTGTCTCCCCTCTGCATTCAAACAACCCTTGGCAGCTGATTTTGACCGGGCCAAAGAAATTACAAGAGTGATGTTATGTTTATAAATTTTTTTACAGTCTTTGGTTTATAGCCTTGGATATGCACCCATTCTCCATGTTTGAGAATCGGGGGTTTCAGCACCTCGAGAAAGTGCTCGAGACACTTTAAGAACTTCCCTCTTGCACCCATTACAGCAAACAGGTAGTACCAGCTCTATATAAGCAAGCCAAAGCCGAAGTTTTCAATGAATTGGCCAATGCATCCTGTGTTGCGCTTACTACAACAGTGACAGCCCATCACATTACCCCGGAGTGGGAGATGTACTGTGCTACAGAGTCACAAGTGCGCACCTGGCACTGAAGGAGGCAGTGTCATGGTGCGTTCGTAACCAAGTGGGAAGTGGGATTTTACCACATACGACTGGGAAAAATCCACTTGAATGGCCCTCCAACTAGTAATTACTAGTGGGAAACTTGTCTATCATCCTGAGCACCCACTTCACCCACATGGTGACCTCTGACGTAACCTACTAAGGAAATGCCTCTATAACAGCATTTTCAGGAGTTAAATGCCACAACAAAACATTATTTATAAAAAGCTATCGATTATTGTGGTTTTTTAACTATATTTGTTTACAAGCCTGATAGCTATACTATTAGTTTATGGTTGATGTAGCTTGTTGGCCATTAGCCAATCGGCGTTTCTCAAAGAGTTCACATGAATGCATCCAACTGGTATTTACATCTGGTAAATTTCCACCTCCCACAACTTGATATGCCCAACATAACAATCCTGTAACAACAGACAATGTCGGGAACATTGTGAATGCTGAACATTGTGAATGGCATTTAATTTTCCCACTGTACCGAAACCGAATCGAACCATGACCACCAAAACCACAATATGTACCGAACCATGGGTTTGGTGAGCCGTTACACCCCAATCACTTACTGTAAACATCTTGCACAGTCACTGTTAAATGCAATTCATCCACACAAATCTCCCATTCTACCCTTTTCTCTTTTCCTTTCTAATTCGCTCTGTATTTATCTTTCTCTAGCTCTCCAGTGCTTGGGATCAGGCAATAGGTTCTCTGGTGGTACCAGTCAAAGAACTGCTGTCAGAACCAGATCTGGTCCTGGATCAGTGGCTGAGTCTGGATGGAGCCTCACCTGACAGTCAGATTTTACTGAGGGCTGAGCTTAAGGTGAAACACATACACTCATACTCGCACTCACACACATCAACTATCAATCACGATTTTGGAGTGTGGAACAAAATGTGCCATATAGTACACAAAGTGCCATTACATTTACATTAATGTCATTTAGCAGACGTTCTTATCCATAGCGACTTATGCTAGTGAGTGCATACATTTTTGTACTGGTCCCCCGTGGGAATCGAACCCACAACCCTGGCGTTACAAGCGCCATGCTCTACCAACTGAGCCACACAGGACCTGTTATGTACTTTACCTGCACCTGGCAGTCTAATCTTGTCTAAAAACTATTGGTAAGTAATTAGTAGCATGTTTTCATTCACAGATCCTGAACTCAAAGATGACTGAGGGTGTTGGGGTACAACAAGGTCCAGAAACGATTCCTCTTGGGAGAGACAGTGAGGAGCTAGTTACTGCGACCAATGAGGAGGAGCAACACAGTGAGGTGCCCTCTGAAGAGTGAGTTTTGTCTTGGCCCCTCCCAATATTCAAATTGTTGAATTGTAATTATAAGTTGATTGCAAATGAAAATGTATGCAGTGTAGGGTTGTCATGATACTCAGAGGGATCGTGGCAAGGAAACAAAACATGAAGCGGACTCAATTTCCTGAAGAAAACAGTCCAAATGTTGCAAACAAGCAGCCTTATGTTGTTCCTCAGAATCACATGTTTTTTTCCCTAAGTATAGCACACAATATTTTACATACAGCAGGTTTTTTAAAGGACCAAAGAGTTTAATCTTCTTTGTGTTTTCCTTTTTGCCATGGAAAATCAGGTATCGTAGTTTCGTGATACTGGTATCTGGACAACCCTAATGCAGTGTATGTAAATTATAAAACCCTTCAACATGTGTGTCTCTTTGTGTGTATTCTCAGGTCTGTTGCAGTCTCCAGCCAACCCTCTATCTCAGAATCTGAAGAAGAAGAGGTGGTCTTTAAGGCCGCCAAAGAAGACCCCAGCCCTCCTGAGACACTCCCCACACACACCAGCCCTGATCCCAGCTTTGATACTGAGGTGAGATCCTGTCTGTATATGGGTTTCATGATACATTCTGTGGATGGATTGTATTGTGGATGGAGTCAATGTGTTTTTATTGAAACCAAGAGTTTATGTATTAACGAGACAGATTATAATAGATTTTGATATGAATTGCATGACCGACTACAACTTTATAGCTGCAGGTGAAAGTATTGACATGTGTTTTTGACCAACAGATAGAGGAGTCAGAAGACGGTGAGGTGGAGGAACCTATCACCATCACCCAACAGTCAGTCACAGCAGACACTGAGGACCTCCAACCCTGGCATGGGCCAACGGCAGGGTGAGCTCCATTCAACAACGGATGCAGAGAGCTTTTCATGTGCTCTGACTTTGCATAGACAATCTTAATTGTAGTCAAGCAACTCTAAACATGTTGTGTGTGTGTTCCTGTGTGTGTATACTCAGGTCTGGTATAGAGGACATTGCCAGAGCTACAGTGTCTAGCCTTCCCTCTGTGTCTGTACCTGAGGAAGCTGAGGCTATGCCTGATGTCTTCCTTGAAACACGCCCTCCTCACACCACCCCTAACCCCAGCTTTGGCACAGAGGTGGGTGCTTCACTGAAGGGACAACACAAATACATTACTTAGACCAATAGTTTGAACCAAAAGGTAAAGGATTAAACATAAAATGTGTCAAGAAAATATTTTTTATTTTGAGAATACTAGGATGCCTTCAAAAAGGTGCTTGAGTGTCACTGGAGTTATATTGTTTGTCCTTTAGGGGGTGATGAGAATCCACCTACTGGAGGCCCAGGATCTGGTTGCCATGGATAAGCTGATGGGGGGCCTGAAGAAGGGCAAGAGTGACCCTTACGTCAAGATCAACATCGGAGGGGTCAAGTTTAAGAGTCTTGTGATCAAGGAGAACCTCAACCCTACCTGGAACGAGATGTATGAGGTATGGAGGGAGGTGTAGTTTACTCAGCTCATCTCTCTAGGCCAGGGTGTTGGACATTGTGCACATTTAAATGAGCAGTACAATTTATTGTGCGGTGCTGTAAAAAGTAAAAGCTATACATTTTAGAGTTTAGAGTAGAGATTATTGTTTGTATGAGCTGCAGTGTCTCAGCTCATGGATCATTATGAAGGGTTTTGTCTAACGTAAAAATGTATCTGAGACCACTAGAAGTTTGTGACCTTTACACATTTTCTTCCTTATTATCATGTAATAGTATTCTTTATGTGTGTAGTTTTGTTGTTACTGATCTTTTCTGATGTGTGTTTCCCAGACTGTGCTGACCCCCCAGGCTAGAGAGGAGATCCAGGTAGAGCTGTATGATAAAGACATTGACTCTGATGACTTCCTGGGCAGGTGTGTTCTAACTGGTCAAATATACACTGTTTAATCAGTAACCTGTTATTGATACTCAAGGGATACGTCCCAAATGGCACCCTATTCCCTTTATAGTCCACTACTTTTGACCAGAGCCCTATGAGCCCTGGTCAAAAATAGTGCACCAAGTGGGTAAATAGTGCTATTTGGGATGCACACAAGATAAGACGCACTGTCTTTATGCACTTTTGCCTAATGGTAGACGGCTTTACAAAGTTTTTCTACTATTACGTATCAAACAGATCTATAGTACCAGTCAAAAGTTTAGACACTCCTACTCATTTATTTTTACGATTTTCTACATTGTAGAATAATAGTGAAGACATCAAAACTATGAAATAACACATATGGAATCATGTAGTAACCAAAAACGTGTTAAACAAATCAAAATATATTTTAGATTCTTCAAAGTAGCCACCCTTTGCCTTGATGACAGCTTTACACACTCTTGGCATTCTCTCAACCAGCTTCATGAGGAATGATTTTCCAATAGTCTTGAAGGAGTTCCCACATATGCTGAGTACTTGTTGGCTGCTTTTGCTTCACTCTGCGGTCCAACTCATCCCAAACCATCTCATTTGGGTTGAGGTCGGGTGATTGTGGAGGCCAGGTCATCTGATGCAGCACTCCATCACTCTCCTTGGACAAATAGCCCTTACACAGCCTGGAGGTGTGTTTTGGGTCATTGTCCTGTTGAAAAACAAATTATAGTCCCACTAAGCGCAAACCAGATGGAATGGCGTATCGCTGTAGAATGCTGTGGTAGCCATGCTGGTTAAGTGTACCTTGAATTCTAAATAAATCTGACAGTGTCACCAGCAAAGCACCCCTACACCATCACACCTCCTCCTCCATGCTTCACAGTGGGAACCACACATGCAGAGATCATCTGTTCACCTACTCTGCGTCTCACAAAGACACAGCGGTTGGAAACATAAATCTCATCAGTCCAAAGCACAGATTTCCACCGGTCTAATGTCCATTGCGCGTGTTTCTTGGCCCAACCAAGTCTCTTCTTCTTATTGGTGTCCTTTAGTAGTGGTTTCTTTGCAGCAATTTGACCATGAAGGCCTGATTCACGCAGTCTCCTCTGAACAGTTGATGTTGAGATGTGTCTGTTACTTGAACTCTGTGAAGTATTTATTTGGGTTGCAATCTGAGGTGCAGTTAACTCTAATGAACTTATCCTCTGCAGCAGAGGTAACTCTGGGTCTTCCTTTCCTGTGGCGGTCCTCATGAGAGCCAGTTTCATCATAGCGCTTGATGGTTTTTGCGACTGCACTTGAAGAAACTTTCAAAGTTATTGAAATGTTCTGGATTGACTGACCTTCATGTCTTAAAGTAAACTGGACTTGGTCTTTTACCAAACAAGGCTATCTTCTGTATACCACCCCTACCTTGGCACAACACAACTGATTGGCTCAAACACATTAAGAAGGAAAGAAATTCCACAAATTAACTTTTAAGAAGGCACAACTGTTAATTGAAATGCATTCCAGGTGACTACCTCATGAAGCTGGTTGAGAGAATGCCAAGAGTGTGCAAAGCTGTCATCAAGGCAAAGGGTGGCTACTTTGAAGAATCTCAAATATACCATATATTTTGATTTGTTTAACACTTTTTTGGTTACTACATGATTCCATATGTGTTATTTCATAGTTTTGATGTCTTCACTATTATTATACAGTGTAGAAAATAGTAAAAATAAAGAAAAACCCATGAATGAGTAGGTGTGTCCAAACCTTTGACTGGTACTGTATATAAGAAGTCACAAGAATCTAATGCCATTTTAGACAGTTGCCAAAATGTTTTTGTGTGTACAGGTTTATGATCAGGCTGAGTGATGTCATTAGGTCCCAGTATACAGACCAGGTGAGTCAGTGTCTTTATACGGGAAGTCGGGGCAGAGTTTGGAATTGATTTCACTCCTCTGCCCTGTGGCACTCCCCTTTATCACTTGCAATATACGTTTTGATTGTGAGGTTATTGCTGTTGTCACAGCCTAGCTTTACATTCCACCTTTACTGGTTGTGCTAGAGTTGTGCACAGTCTAATGCGTATATTTCTGTGTTCCAGTGGTACACGCTGAATGAAGTGAAGTCAGGTCGTGTACATCTGTTACTGGAGTGGGTACCTACAGTATCAGAACCAGACAGACTGGATCAGGTCAGTCCCACTCCTTTCTCAGTTTCTTCTGTCTCTCACATCTCCTATCTTTCCCTTTCATTTTCTATCTCTTTCACTATGAGTTCAGTTCAGCAATCTCTTTCCTCAATCAGTCTCTCTCCAAAAAAGTATTTATATTTGCAGAAAGCAGTTGATTCACATTCCATATCTCCTCCTATGAGGCATAACAGAGCACAGCATTAGTATCACAAGATGTTTCAATATATCTCTTTCCTCCACAACCTCCAGGTGCTGCAGCTGCAGTCTCTCCAGTCCTACCAGAACAAGGCTGTTCCCTCTGCTGCTCTCCTCTTTGTCTATATGGACAGAGCCCACTCACTGCCTGTGAGTCACCTTTGACCTTTTACCTCTGATGGGGTTCTGTTGTCATGTTACCATGATCTTGATAGCCTACTGTCATCTGATGTTTGTGATAAACTGTGATTTTTCACTTGGTTATTTTCTCTTGTGTAGTTTGTTTCATTGCTGATACATTACCTCACCATAATAGTCTTACATTATCTTTTTTTCTCTCTTATCAGTTATGTGACTAAGTGACCTAGAGTGACCTTTATTTGTGTTTCTAGTTAAAGAAGAGTGGGAAGGAGCCAAAGGCTGGAGCTGAGCTAGTTCTGGGGAAGACAACCTACAGAACCAAGGTGAGACAGCTTACAATATCATGCTTGTAATTTGTCTTAGATTGACCAACTAACATCTATTTTCCCTATCACTCCTCTATCTCTCTTAAGGTGTGTGATCGCACCAACTCCCCCCAGTGGGACGAGGCTTTCTACTTCCTGGTTCGTGACCCCAAAGAAGAGATGCTTATAGTGAAGGTGAGTGGTTGTTTGAGTGTCATTGCAAGCACTTTGCTTTCTCTTGCGTCACTCATTTACAACAAAATACAAATTATTTATTGTCCATTCAGGTGGACATTTTGTTAAGGTCAGCAGCAGGTCAGAAATTTAAGGGTGTCTCATTCTCTCTCTCTATCTCTCTATTGTGGTCCTCTGTAGCTCAATTGGTAGAGCATGGCGCTTGTAACGCCAGGGTAGTGGGTTCGATCCCCGGGACCACCCATACGTAAAAATGTATGCACACATGACTGACTTTGGATAAAAGCGTCTGCTAAATGGCATATTATTATTATCTCTACATGTAGCTCTCCAGTGCTTGGGATCAGGCGATGGGTTCTCTGGTGGTACCAATCAGAGAGCTGCTGTCAGAACCAGATCTGGTCCTGGATCAGTGGCTACGTCTGGATGGAGCCTCACCTGACAGTCAGATTCTACTGAGGGCTGAGCTTAAGGTGAAACACACACACACACACTTCTGTATCCTCTATTGTTTCTATTGAAATTATTACTTACAAAATGTATCTTTCAACAGATTCTGGACTCTAAAATTGTGGAGCTGATAGGTCAAGGAACTCTGCCGTGCGCTGCAGGAAACTGTGGGCAGGTGAAGCTGTCTCTTTCCTATGCCTCAAAGGAGAAGAAACTCACCATTGCAGTCCATGCCTGCAGGTCTGCATCTGAGTGTCTGCATCATTCATAACTCCATCTTTTCATATAGCAAGAGCACAGAGTTTGTCATTGTCAGGTCACATGATGGTCTGCAAACACTACTGCCCCCTACATATAGGCTAGCTTTGAACTCACTGCTAAAGAAAGTGTCCATTCCTGTAATGATATCCCTATTGTATATTTTCAACAAATTCCTCATACTGTACCTCTTTCTCTTACTTTACCAATTGACCACACTGGTTTTTAAGGCCATGGATCATGTTATATGTTGTGTGTGTGTTTCTGTATAGGGGTCTGGAGTCCTCCAGTAAGGATGGTCTAGACACCTACATCTCGCTCATGCTGCTGCCAGACAAAACCAAGGCCACCAAGAGGAAGACAAGTGTCAAGAAGAGAGACCTGAACCCAGAATATAACGAAAGGTGTGAGATGTTATGTGTGTGTGTCTCACTGCCAACTGGGTCATTTGAACCTATCTGTGTTAAATGGCGGCAGAGTGTAACAGTATTGTCCCTGCCCCTCTGTGTAGGTTTGAGTTTGATCTGTCTGTGGAGGAGGCCAGGCGCAGGCGTCTGAGTGTGTCGGTGAAGAACAGCTCAGCCTCCTTCAGGAGCAGCGATATCATTGGACAGGTCAGCCTGGGCTTGGATTACTGCATCTTCTTTTATGGCTATATTTTACTCATCATACTACACTGTATCAGCTGGGTAGCTTTGGAGTAAACATGGGTGTCTGTACATGTTTTTTTTCTTTCTCACCTGGTGCAAATGATGACTCATGCTTCTGTTCCACCCATGCAATATCATGTCAGTATTATGCAAATTACACTTGTTTTGAATGCTGTGTATAGTAATATATGTTTCTACCAAACTTCTTCTTTCAGGTGCACATAGAGCTGGCTCAGATTGACATGGCCTCTGGAGTCACAGAATGGTGAGTAGTAGCCATAAAACCGGTAGCATTTGACTAATTGATTGATTGCGCTAACGAAGGTCGGTTGACCGACAGTTTAGCCATAATACACAATTTTTACGCTGTTATTATGTGTGCGTCTTCTCGTTGGAGTAGTAGCCATACAAAATGATTGATTAATTAATTAAACCACCTTTTTTTTTTTTTTACTATAACCCTTCCACAGGTTTGACTTGAAAGAGGAGGCTGAATAGTGGATCTGTCTGCAGCTGTCATACCTGTTATACCACATGTTTAAAGTTCACCTATACAGCCTAACTCACGCAGATGCCTTCCCCCACCTACCTAACACATTTACCACTACTGCAGCCTGCCCTGTCCTTTCACCTCTCGTCACCAGTCTGCCTGTTAATGTCTTTCTCTATATATCCACATATCAATATTATCACTAAAGACAGGGCCACTCAATACGTCAGACAATCTGTATTGGACCAGAAAGTCAGTATTATATAGTTTCATCTGATGTTTATACCTAGTATTAATAGTTATTAAGTAATAGTTATGAAGGTCAAAATGTGTATATACTTATGAATGTTACATACCTTAAGAAGGTTAAGGGTTATACCTGCGTACTTTAAGAACTGATGAGGGTTATACCTGCTTATGAAAGTTACTTTTGAAGTTTATATGACTAAATTCTTAGGGTTATTTGAAGATCATATGAAGGTTATGTACGTTGAAGATTAATGTACTAATGAATGATTGCTATATGCATTTATCTTGCTAGAGTAATCTATCAGTAAGGAAGGAGTTAACGTTATCAAGGTAAAGAAACTCTTTCCTGAAACAGGAAGTGAATAGGGACCAGCAAAACGTGTAGTCAGGATACGGTATCAGTTCGGTATTTGATAATACCAAAGTAACAAACATGATTTGGAAGATATATCAGGGAATACCATAATGTATTATGGAATGTTGTTTGTTGTGGAACATTGTTAAGTATGTTAATACTAATAGAAGGATAATGAGGAATATGTAAGATTGAAAGTACAGTATGATGGTCTTAGATACAGTATGGGTCCTTGCATTTTCAGTCTCATGTAGTGAGATACACAGTACACCTTAACCCACACGCCTTTACTCATTGTCTAGTCAGGAACCTCCCTTACTAAAAGAGCATTGATTTTATGTTACCTTACTTTGCCTTATGTTATTACACAGAGACGACCACTATAGTATATACCAATGATCTATACAGTACTGTCATCCATGCATTATCCATGTGAAATGCACCCAATGGCCAAAGTCACTCTGATAATACAGATTACAGATACTGACCAGTGGGGTTCAAAAGTGTTACATGGAGTGTTAACAGTTATTCCTTTCAAACTAATAAGACAAATTATATATCTGTTGCCATTTTTATTTTCCTCATTCATTGTCATAGTGTTGATTATGCACCATTCCATTTTGTTACATATCTTTTTGTTTGAACTTTTAAAACATTTTACTTGCCCTTGTGTTACTATACTGCTTTGATGTGTTTAACATTAGTTTTGATGTGTATCTTTGTTTTATTGCAGCAGATTTTTTTAACACATTGCCAACATGAAAATACCATAGAAAAAATAAAGACGAAAATAAAATAAGTGTGCATCGTGGCAGTCAAACACTTTTTGCACCTTCAGAAGAGAGCGGTCTCCTGTGGTTTATGTACAGAATCTAGTCCTAAAGTCCTACAAACCTACTGAGTAGTGGGGTTAAAAATTGAACCAAAATTATTCTGCAATGTAATTAAAATGTCAAATTACTCAGTGTGATATACATTAAACTATTCCGAATGCAGCAAGAGCACTCTTTTTCAACCAACAGAAGTGACCATATCCATCAAAGTTCTGTGAGTCATATCCTTTAAAGTTCTGTGAGTCGGTCCGTGTTCTTATGGATAATTCCTATTTCCTCTCATCTCGGCAAGGCCAAACAAAAGGAAATAAATCGTTTTATCATTTTTCTAGTTGAAGACCAAAACAAAAATTGGACATCAACTCGTTCTCGTTTACCTGGAAGTACACACCCCCTAATATAATATTCAAGGCGCATAGCGGGTGTGTTTAGTAGCTAGCTAGTGGAATTAAATTAACGTTAGTCCCTCGACAAAATTAAAGTAAGTAAGTTAACGTTAGTCCCCCCCCCCAGCTGGATATTGTTGTATTGAATGTGTAAGAAATAGCTATGTAAGAGACCGATAGGTTGAGGGACTAACGTAATTTACTTCCACTAGCTAGCTACCATGAAGGACTAATTACTTTCACTAGCTAGCATGACTATAGCCAGTAGTAGCCAGGTAGGGCTAGCTAGCTAGGCAGCCTGCCAGCTAGTCAGTTAGCAGTAACGTTAGACTTTCATTTTCGCTTTCTTGTTCAGCCACAGTTGTTGTCAGAATAGGCTGCAAGAAGTTGAGCGAGAACAAGTTGAGGAGAACGCCACGCAGTGCACACTTGTAAGTAAACTTTAATCGCACCCAAATTGTATCTGTTTTCGTTTTTCTTAGGAATGTATGTGGTTCTAGAACTTCTACCAGCCTATCACGAAAGCAACTGTTCACTAGAATTGTGTGGATTAATTTTAATCGATAGGCAAAGATTCTATCAGTTCTGTGTAAAACGAAAGTGATACTATTTTAGGTATTTGCGCAGTAAAGCAGGCTACATAAAACATTCTTGAGTTGATCACATATTTGTTTCAAGAGACAATACCCAAAATCTGATTTTTGTAATAACATTGCACTCGAGGTGTGTGTAAATCAGAGTATGTGAGCGGAGTGGAGCTGGAGCGGAGCGAGGAGCAGAGCGATCCCAATTTGACTGGAGTGTGGAGCGAGATTCCCAAAGGCTGAAGCGTCGGCCTTCCCCCCCCTCCAATTTCGCTCCAAAGTAGCGCTCACTTCACGAGCTCAGGGCATGCCCGGCCCAGCATGCATTTGTAGTCTACTTGTGTGCTGCTATAGCCCCTTGCTTTAGCTACTGTCATGGAGTTCGTTAAATATTTTCATAAAGAAACTGATAAAATACACAGGTGCAAAATCAAGGTGACTTACAAAGATGAGGACCAAGAGACAGAGTGCGGTGATGTAGTGTCCACAACTAAAGAATCATCATGGAATCTGAAAAGACACCGTTCCCGAAAGCATGATGGTGTACTTACTAAATTAGATGCACATGCTAAAAGAAAGGAACGAGGTGGGTAGATAACTAAGTGTGTCATTGTAGCAAAGTATTTATAAACCAAAAATCAGATCGCTTAAACGTTCGTTCATTTTTGTTGTATTATCTATACAATAGGCCATAATTGATTTTGGTCCAATAGGCCTAGCATATTCCCACATTCAAGAAGCTTTGTTTTGATTGGGTTATTTTGCCTAAAAACCTTTTAGGCCTACCTATAGATTTTTTTTTTTCAACAACTCTGCCCAGCCTGTCAAGTATGGGCAAAATGATGTTTAGCATCCCCAGTGGCTCTGCAAGTGTGGAGAGGATATTATCCGCTGCTGGCCTGCTCTCCAGGCGCCATCGCATAAACCTGACTGGCCAAACTCGTGTTTCTAAAAATGTATTCTAAAAATGTATTCAAAGGCACTAATAAGTCATTTTTCGTTTAATTTGTCATTCATTCTAAGTAATTCACAACCTATATGCGAAATGTATTGACTAAAATGATTTAATACAACAAAATGTTTTTTAAATGCTGAGCGCTTAATGTCTCTACCAGCCTATTGTGTCGCACTCGCAAATGCTTCACAATGTATTACAGTGAGGGAAAAAAGTATTTGATCCCCTGCTGATTTTGTACGTTTGCCCACTGACAAAGACATGATCAGTCTATAATTTTAATGGTATGTTTATTTGAACAGTGAGAGACAGAATAACAACAAAAAAATCCAGAAAAACGCATGTCAAAAATGTTATAAATGTATTTGCATTTTAATGAGGGAAATAAGTATTTGACCCCTCTGCAAAACATGACTTAGTACTTGGTGGCAAAACCCTTGTTGGCAATCACAGAGGTCAGACGTTTCTTGTAGTTGGCCACCAGGTTTGCACACATCTCAGGAGGGATTTTGTCCCACTCCTCTTTGCAGATCTTCTCCAAGTCATTAAGGTTTCGAGGCTGACGTTTGGCAACTCGAACGTTCAGCTCCCTCCACAGATTTTCTATGGGATTAAGGTCTGGAGACTGGCTAGGCCACTCCAGGACCTTAATGTGCTTCTTCTTGAGCCACCCCTTTGTTGCCTTGGCCGTGTGTTTTGGGTCATTGTCATGCTGGAATACCCATCCAGACCCATTTTCAATGCCCTGGCTGAGGGAAGGAGGTTCTCACCCAAGATTTGACAGTACATGGCCCCGTCCATCGTCCCTTTGATGCAGTGAAGTTGTCCTGTCCCCTTAGCAGAAAAACACCCCCAAAGCATAATGTTTCCACCTCCATGTTTGACGGTGGGGATGGTGTTCTTGGGGTCATAGGTAGCATTCCTCCTCCTCCAAACACGGTGAGTTGAGTTGATGCCAAAGAGCTCAATTTTCGTCTCATCTGACCACAACACTTTCACCCAGTTCTCCTCTGAAACATTCAGATGTTCATTGGCAAACTTCAGACGGGCCTGTATATGTGCTTTCTTGAGCAGGGGGACCTTGTGGGCGCTGCAGGATTTCAGTCCTTCATGGCGTAGTGTGTTACCAATTGTTTTCTTGGTGACTATGGTCCCAGCTGCCTTGAGATCATTGACAAGATCCTCCCGTGTAGTTCTGGGCTGATTCCTCACCGTTCTCATGATCATAGCAACTCCACGAGGTGAGATCTTGCATGGAGCCCCAGGCTGAAGGAGATTGACAGTTCTTTTGTGTTTCTTCCATTTGCGAATAATCGCACCAACTGTTGTCACCTTCTCACCAAGCTACTTGGCGATGGTCTTGTAGCCCATTCCAGCCTTGTGTAGGTCTACAATCTTGTCCCTGACATCCTTGGAGAGCTCTTTGGTCTTGGCCATGGTGGAGAGTTTGGAATCTGATTGATTGATTGCTTCTGTGGACAGGTGTCTTTTATACAGGTAACAAACTGAGCTTAGGAGCACTCCCTTTAAGAGTGTGCTCCTAATCTCAGCTCGTTACCTGTATAAAAGACACCTGGGACCCAGAAATCTTTCTGATTGAGAGGGGGTCAAATACTTATTTCCCTCATTAAAATACAAATCAATTAATACAAATTTTGACGTGTTTTTCTGGATTTTGTTGTTGTTATTCTGTCTCTCACTGTTCAAATAAACCTACTATTAAAATGATAGACTGATCATTTCTTTGTCAGTGGGCAAACGTACAAAATCAAATACTTTTTTCCCTCACTGTACTTTGTAGGCTATAACCTTGAAATAATAATAGCCTAAATAATTCATGTTCATTCCTTAGGCTCCCTGTCTTGCTCCTGACCTATTTAGTGTTAACAGTGCCTTCGGAAAGTATTCAGACCCATTGACTTTTTTCCACATTTTGTTACGCTACAGCCTTATTCTAAAATTGATTAAAAAAAATAAAAATCCTGATCAATCTACACACAGTACACCATAATGACAAAGCAAAAACTGTCTTTTTTAAACATTTTTGTTAATTTATAATAATTTAAAAAAATGGAAATATCACATTTACATAAGTATTCAGACCCTTTACTCAGTACCTTGTTGAAGCACCTTTGGCAGCGATTACAGCACTGAGTCTTCTTGGGTATGACGCAACAAGCTTGGCACACCTGTATTTGGGGAGTTTCTCCCATTCTTCTCTGCAGATCCTCTCAAGCTCTGTCAGGTTGGATGGGGAGCGTTGCTGCACAGCTGTTTTCAGGTCTCTCCAGAGATGTTCGATCAGGTTCAAGTCCGGCCTCCGGCTGGGCCACTCAAGGACATTCAAGGACTTAAGGACTTGTTCTGAAGCCACTCCTGCGTTGTCTTGGCTGTGTGCTTAGGGTCATTGTCCTGTTGGAAGGTGAACCTTTGCCCCAGTCTGTGGTCCTGAGCACTCTGGAGCAGGTTTTCATCAAGGATCTCTCTGTACTTTGCTCCGTTCATCTTTGCCTTGATCCTGACTAGTCTCCCAGTCCCTGCCACTGAAAAATATCCCCACAGCATGATGTTGCCACCACCATGCTTCACCGTAGGGATGGTGCCAGGTTTCCTCCAGACGTGACGCTTGGCATTCAGGCCAATTAGTTCAATCTTGGTTTCATCAGACCAGAGAATCTTGTTTCTCATGGTCTGAGAGTCTTTAGGTGCCTTTTGGCAATCTCCAACCGGGCTGTCAGATGCCTTTTACTGAGGAGTGGCTTCCGTCTGGCCACTCTACCATAAAGGCCTGATTGGTGGAGTGCTGCAGAGATGGTTGTCCTTCCGGAAGGTTCTCTCATCCCCACAGAGGAACTCCAGAGCACGGTGATAGTGACCATCGGGTTCTTGGTCACCTCCCTGACCAAGGCCCTTCTCCCCCGATTGCTCAATTTGGCTGGGCGGCCAGCTCCAGGAAGAGTCTTGGTGGTTCTAAACTTCTTCCATTTAAGAATGATGGAGACCACTGTGTTCTTGGGGACCTTTAATGCTGCAGAAATGTTTTGGTACCCTTCCCCAGACCTGTGCCTCAACACAATCCTGTCTCCGTGCTCTACTGACATTTCCTTCGACCTCATGGCTTGGTTTTGACTCTGACATGCACTGTCAACTGTGGGACCTTATATAGACAGGAGTGTGCCTTTCCAAATCATGTCCAATCAATTGAATTGAACACAAGTGGACTCCAATGAAGTTGTAGAAACATCTCAAGGATGATCAATGGAAACAGGATGCACCTGAGCTCAATTTCGAGTCTCATAGCAAAGGGTCTGAATAATTATGTAAATAAGGTGTTTTTGTTTTTATTTTTTTAATCAATTTGCAAACATTTCAAAAAACCTGTTTTCGCTTTGTCATTATGAGGTATTGTGTGTAGATTGCAAAAAAAGGAAAGATTTAATCAATTTTAGAATAAGGCTGTAACGTAACAAAATGTGGACTGAATACTTTCCGAAGGCACTGTATATACTGTTTAAAATGACATGTAGCCTATTTGAAATGATGTGCGCTTCTTACATCGCTTTTTCATGTTTATTGAAATCGTATTGTTTAGTTTCAATACTTCAAAACCAAATGGTAGTTCCAGGTAGTCACAAAAATAGATGGGTGTTGGTTAAATTGTGATTTAAATTAATGGAGCGAATTTGGAGCGGCAGTTCTTTTTCTGTGAGCGCGAAGCGGTTTTTAGTGGAGCAGATGGAAAGAACGGGGAGTGCCGGACCACTCCATGAGCGGGATTTCCAACCACTCAACTCCGCTCACATACTCTGGTGCAAATTGTTCAGTGTTGTCTGTCAGGTAAGGGCAGACTAGGTTGTTTGTCAAGCTAGGCCAATATAACTTTCAATATGCAGGGTGCTAATGTTGAGAGAAAAAAGTATTTAAAGAGGCAATCTGCGGTTGATACATCCATTTTTGGACTTATAAATTAATGATATGAACCCATTGATTCTTGAAGAATATAACTTATAAATAAATGCCTCATGAGCTTGGTTCAACTGTGGTACCCCATCAGAACCCCAAATATATAAGCTTGTTTTACTCCAATGTCTGTAAACAAAGTAAATGTAAACAAACCTCAAAACATAGTTTCAACTATAATTTTGATATCATCGATGGTCAGTCCTTGCATCCATAGCTCTGTCTATACATTTGAGAATGGTTACATTTCTACAGCCCCATCCCTCAGCTTTTTACCAGAACAGGGGCAGGGAAAATGCTTTGTTATTGTTTAAACTGCTGCTTGCCGCTTTAAAGGAGTCTAAAGCCTAGTTTATACCTGGCGCTAACATGTGTCCTTTGTCTTGATCTTGTCCACATTCTGATCGTGCCCACATTTTCAGAAATACAGTATGTCTACACATGGTATTAAAATGTATCTTATCTGTGTCTGCATTGTGACCACATTTCCTGGTCCCTCCCTGTATGCAAATTATTTGACCGCTATTCTTTCAAAATAGTATGTATTTATTTTAAGACACATTGATGCCATAAGTCAATGGTGCCACCTGTCAATGATTTTAGAAGCCGGGATAATGATGATTTAAATGGTTTCACTCTCCAGAATCGTCTACACTTGTAAGATATCCAGACACAATGCGTGTCTGACTACCTCCGAAGGTGGTCAGGAAGATCTGATCACTATCAGACCACAATGCGTCTTTTAATCGCCTACACCTGTCTGGAAATGTGGGCACAATCAGAATGTGGACAAGATCAGGACAAAGGATGCATGTCAGAACCGGGTATAAACTGGGCTTAAGACATGCTGAGAAACACAAGAACAAGAGTAATAGAAAAGTGAGAATCAACCCAGTCTCTCCTAATAGCCAGCGAAAGCAATTGCCTTTTCTATACTTTATGATAACACAATGAACATTTTATTTCTCATTTCACACACATAGTTGTTTTTCACATACCAGCCTGAAGTGCATTCTGTTCAAATGGGCAATTAAAATGCTAAACCTATGGTGTTTAGGACTGGCTGAAGTGAAAGTGACGTCTTGACTGGTGTAAGCACGGCGACTAAACATGTCAGACGTAGAGGACATGGATGTGAGTATATGCACTTGTATTGTGGACAGATCATGGAAAGTTTTTATCCTAACAGAATTTAACAGAGGAGAACTTAACAATCATTATTTCTTTCAAGACAACCCCAACCCCAGAGATGAGCAGAAACACTGAAGCCTCTGGACCTGAACAGCAAGGGCCCCATGACTATTCGCAAATACAGGTTCATGTTATAGGTATCAAAGGATAGGGCCAGGGGTAGCATATGTTATGTGGGTGTGACATTATTACAACCGGTGACATCATTTGGGTATTTAGGGTTAACATCTATTACAACCGGTGACATCATTTGGGTATTTAGGGTTAACATCAACTAAAATTATTTTTATAAAGGCCTACAATGCTCTTGTGCTCTAATTATTAGGACTAAACACTTGTCTCGGGGTAGGCTACTTTTATTTAGAATGTGGAAATGTAGGCTATAGCATAAATGTAGGCTTTAACCACATGTTGAGGATGCACAACCGCTCACCGATTGGACAGCTCCTCCAATGCAGTTACACCTCCGACATTGCCTAAACAAAAGCAATGAAACTGCTATGCAGTTGTCGGTTATCGCGGGTAAGCGCTGGAACTGATTGAATCTCGGCCTTAGGCTGGGATTCAATACGATCGTGCTTTGTCGACAATGCACTATTTATACCTTAGGTAGTTTGCTATTGAGCCGACGTGGAGCGTTTACCGTGAATGTGGTCTCTGCGAATGCGGTATTGTTGCCTTTAACCTTTTACTGCAGTGGGCTAAATCAGGGTCACACAGTGTTTCTTGGTAGTCTTAAACAAATCTACTTTGAAACAAAAGTATATACCTCACACACATGGTTATGGGCTTAAAAAAAAGAGTGAAATGTATTCAATTATGAGTTTGCATCCCAATATTACACTTTATATACATCACAGAAGACTGAAATATAACAAAACCATTGATATAGGAACACGGATTTTTGGCGGGTTTTTAGAAATAATGTATATTAATTATAAAAAATATTAACATTCCACCCATGAGGCCACTAAGTCATTTGACTGCAGGAAAGGGCTACAAGGTGCATTGCCAACAAAGCAGGATCGGCTTGAATCCCGGCCTTCGCCTACTACTGGACTAAAAAGCATCCTCAATGGAGAATCTCTATTGAAAATGCATCTTTAGTCCAGGAATAGAATGGGTCCAGAACCTGGTCCTAAGACTCCAGTTCAGACCCACTAAAAGAGAGATTTCACCAATATAATAAGAACTGTAACTTTGTGAAGGCACAGGTTTATGATGATTTTAAAATAAAAGTACTCTCCACTGTCTCTCCCAGCCCACAGGAACACCCAATGGCCATGGAACAGTGATACAGTCGCAGCCACAACGGTCTAGTGTTACTCAAAGTGCTTTGACTGATAAGGTAAGGAGTTTTGTAGGACTCTATTGTAGTAGACTAACACCGCTTACTGTAGCCCGGTATCTATTGAGAGCTGTAAACAGTGTAATTTAACCCATAAGAGTCTAACCCCTGTCTAAGCCGGGGGAGGGTGGGTTCTACTAAGATATATGGAATTGTTTTAAGAAGGTCATACCAAGGATAATTTTTCTATTTGATATTGCATTTTAAGAACCCTTAAAGTATATATAAAAAAATTGGGCCTTACTGCTATTAGCCCACACAAACACATTGAATAACAGATTCACTACATGGAACAGATAGTCCCCCCAAAAAATCTAAAGGAAGTTTGTTCTGAAGTGCTTGTCCTATATCTGAGAGATATAAGAAAGATCAGGAAACATTTGTTCTTTTTCTTGACATGTATTTAACCCCTTATTTTTGGCACTAAACAGTCTCCATACAGTGCTTTCAGAAAGTATTCAGATCCGTTGACTTTTTCCACATTTTGTTACGTTACAGCCTTGTTCTAAAATTGATTAAATTAAATGTTTTCCTCATCAATCTACACACAATACCCCATAATGACAAAACGAAAAGAAAAGGGTAGAGTGGCCAGACGTAAGCCACTCCTCAGTAAAACGCACATGACAGCCCGCTTGGAGTTTGCCAAAAGGCACCTAAAGGACTCTCAGACCATGAGAAACAAGATTCTCTGGTCTGATGAAACCAAGATTGAACTAATTGGCCTGATTGCCAAGCGTCACGTCTGGAGGAAACCTGGCACCATCCCTACGGTGAAGCATGGTGGTGGCAGCATCATGCTGTGGGGATGTTTTTCAGCAGCAGGGACTGGGAGACTAGTCAGGATCTAGCGAAAGATGAACGGAGCAAAGTACAGAGAGATCCTTGATGAAAACCTGCTCCAGAGCGCTCAGGACCTCAGACTGGGGCGAAGGTTCACATTCCAACAGGACATCGACCTTAAGCACACAGCCAAGACAACGCAGGAGTGGCTTCGGGACAAGTCTCTGAGTGTCCTTGAGTGGCCCAGCCAGAGCCCGGACTTGAACCCGATCTAACATCTCTGGAGAGACCTGAAAATAGCTGTGCAGCGACGTAAATGTAATATTTCAGTTTTTTATATTTAATATATTTGCAAAAATGTCTAACAACCAGTTTTTGCTTTGTCATTATGGGGTATTGTGTGTAGATTGTGATTTTTTTTTTTTTTTTTTTCATTTTAGAGTAAGGCTGTAACGTAACAAAATGTGGAAAAAGTCAATGGGTCTGAATATCTCCATTAATTTTTTCAACTGGTACTCTGGGACCTTCAGACGAGTCTTGTGAGGCCTGTGGGCGTTCTAGAACAAAACAACATGTAGGCGTTCGTGAGAGTCTCACCTTTCCACCGAGGGGTCATATTAGTGTGTATCCCAATCTGTTCGGACACTACAGAGAGAAGTTGGCAGATCAGCTGTGCTGACTTCAGACGAGTCCCAAGATGTTTGTGGGGGGCAAAAATGAGAACACCATCGTGTTTGTGAGAGTCATCCTTAGAGGGGTCATCATAGTTTGTAGGCCAAATCGTTTGGACTCTACAGACGATTTTGTGAGAAGACCGATTTTCGGGATGTCACATGGTCTGACAAACACCGCTCTAGCTCTGTCACCTTTCACCACAGATGCATAAGTGTGACATAGGCAGATGCGGTGGATTGAGACGCATCCAATGCAAAAAAGAACATATCTCTAGCTTAAACTGACAGATTTCTATGGGGATTTGTTTATTATACTAATAATAAAGCTGTTTATATTTTTATAATACATAAATTAATGTCCAACAAGGGCACACATTCACCAGACAAATCAATATTTTCATATGTTATAATCCATAAAGTTGTCTCTCTAATGATTAACATCATATTAATGTTCTGTTATTTCCAGGACCCATATCTTTATCAAGGAGATCATGACTTTGAAGTGAAGCATCCCTCAGCACCCCAGTATGACCTCAGCAATGTTAGTCATTTAGTCTTTTGATAGCTGTGAAAATCTAATGAACATACTGTACATGTTAAATAAGGACATTTCTTTGACTTGTTTTCTTTTTATTGGTGTTTTAGAATGTATATTTCCATAAGGCTAAAATTATCTCTAAACCATTAATGTTGCTAGATATTTTACGGCATTTACAATATTTGACATCACTCTCCATTCTCTAAAGCTTCAGTCATCCTCTTCCAAAGAGATCAATGGAGATTATCCTGCTGAAGGAGATGTCTCTACTAGAAACAAACAATCACAGAGAGATCCACATTATCCCATCAACCCCCAAAGTGCTCCAGATGGGGTAATGATTCTATCTAGCAGATCAAAGGATGTGTCATTTTTCTAACTAGCTCTAGACGCTTTACTGTAGAACACTGGTCAGTGCTCAGGAGACAACAGTTTCTGTTATTGCCCCTGTCAATCAGGCTCTGATATCTGCCTTGAAAGTATGGTGTCATCCTCTTTTATCATATCAGTTACTAAGCCACCTGAACAACCCAAAAATAATACGTTGTCATTTTTTCAGGACCTGAATCAGGCAAAGGACGAGACAGAGGAAAAGCAGACCACTGGACCTCTAGATGAGGCTACTGTCTATGTCAATGTGGTGTGGCCTGGGAAACTATCACCATTGTCATGGAAGTCTACACTTCAGAAAAGTCTCCAGTCATGGTTGAATAATAACTTAACAAAAACAGATTGCACCGTGAAAAGGCTTTTGGACAACAGAAACGTGGCAGAAGTAAAGATACATCCCCCTTCAGGTTAGAATGATGGTGTAAAATACAGTAATACCTGTATCATTTCAATGTTGAGGAGACACTCAAGCCATAGAGGTGCTGCTATGAGAAAATTATCTTCACTAACATTGATGCAAACAATGTGTCCCTGATTAAATTCCCAAACACTTAGCAAAGGGTTTTTGCCATGTTAGCAGGTTGGATTTGGTAACAGGCATTTCTGTCTTTTATTCTAAGAGTTTTAATTATTATTATTGCGTGATCATGTGCTATTATTTATCTGCCCTCTTTTAAGCCCTTGAGGACCTTCTGAAGTTGAAGGAAACACAGATTACCATAAAAGACAAGGCCAAGACGACAGCCACTGTGCAGTTTCACAGAGATGTACCTCCAACATTTAAATCCTGGAATCAATCAAGCAGTAAACCCAGCTCAATAGAAGTATTGCCTCCAACATCCTCACACACTCCACAGGATGTATGTAAATGAAATGTGTGATTATTTGACAGCATTTTCAAATCAACTATAATATAAAAAGTATAAATGTAAAATGTATGTACATATTTTAAATATTATATTTCCCCCCTAGGTCAAATGCCTAATGACTGTAAGTGCTAGTCTTGACATTGATGGCTACAAACCTGAAGTACGAGCTGCCCTTCTCAGTCAGTACCACACCATCAATCACAAGTTAGCTGTAAAAGGGACCTTTGATGAAGTGAAGCAGTTCCACAAGGAGGTGACCAAGATCATCAGGGAAGCGGAAGCCGAGCCAGAACGGGGTTGGAACGATGGTGCAGACGCAGCACAAAGCATGACTCACAATGGAAAGAAGACCCATGAAGACCCTGGGCAGAAGAAAATGACCTGTGCAGTCCCACTAATCCACTTTTGGTACTTGAACCAGGCCTACCGAAAGGAGATGGAGGACATAGAGAAAAGAAATGGAGTCAAAATCAATGCAGAAGTGGAGGTGTACATCAAAGAGGACCCACAGAAAACAGGCAGAGATTTTATGCTGACCAAAGCCCACCAGGAGTTCATTGGCCTCTTCCAGAAGCGTGTAGTTGATTTTGACAGCATTTCCACCCATCTGACACCTGTGGATCCAGGAGACCTCATGAATACGCTGAGAAACATCCAGAATGAGGAGACCAGGCTGGTACTAAATGTGTCTGCCAATGGGTGTGATGTGTTTGGGCCGAATCAGAGCATCGTGGCAGTCAGGAAGGCTATTGGAATGAAGACTACAGTAATGACCTTTGGAATGGATCACAGCTACACAGAGAAAGCATCTGAATTTGCTGGGGGACCTGTTTTGAGATCTCCAAAAACACCACGGATGATTAGGATGGACATCAAAGATCCACTCTTGTCACATGGGCTGGCCATGGACCAGACTCACTGGGATCTGATGAAATCTGCCTTTCATGAGAAAATAACAGCAATCAAAAATAAATTTGGAGTGGATTTCATGGAGGAAAAGTCTCCAGGCAAGGTCAAAATTAAAACCAGACCTACAACATCATCACACACTCCACTGGTTGTCTCTCTGGAAAGCCACGCCATCAGAGCTCTCATGCACCTCTACCAGAAGGTTGCGACATCAGCGATGAGCTGCCACCTGCTGGACCCTACCCATGCAAAGACTGTGGGGGACAAGCTGGAGGAGATCCACCCTCGACACCGCTGTGTCTGGGCAGGAGGAAACTACGGTCCCTGGAGGTTGATCGGCCTACCGCAACATTTGGGCCCTGCTGTCAAAGAGCTAGAGATGATGCTGAAAAGGCCTATGTTTAAAGAAGAAGACAAGCACAAGATTGGGTATGCTGGAGACAGATCCAGCGCTGGAGCAGCCACGGGGGGAGCAGCTGGAGATGGAGGAGCAACAGGAGGGGTTGAAGAAGATAATTGCACCATATGCATGGACACATTTACCAACAAGAAGAAGTTGTCCTGCAGCCATGAGTTTTGTGCAGATTGTCTGAGGAAGGCAGTGGAATTCTCAGGCCCCAGCTGTCCTTTGTGTAAGGCTGTGTTTGGAAAGGTGGTGGGAGACCAGCCTGAGGGAACAATGAAAGTGAAATATGAAAGGTCACTCAGCATACCTGGATACCCTGGCTATGGCGCGATAGTTATCAACTATGATATACCAAAAGGAAAACAGACGGTAAAAGCCTTGATTTTTTTATTATAAATGTAACAAATTACAGCACTGAATTATCTCCTAATGCATTAATTTTTTACTAATCACCACAGTGAGGGTTAACAGCAAAATGTTTAACTATACGGACAAATTTTGTTTTCTTTACATTTTCTGGCTTTAGAATAAACATCCCAATCCTGGAGAGTGGTTCAGTGGGACCTGTAGAATAGCTTATCTACCGAACAATGAGGAGGGCAACAAAGTGCTGAAGTTACTAGAGAGAGCTTTCGACCAGAAGCTGATTTTCACAGTTGGGACCTCCAGAACCACTGGGACAGATGACTGTGTGACATGGAATGACATTCACCACAAGACCAACATCAATGGAGGGGCACAAAGGTAAAATATCTAAAACTATGGATATGATTATATTAACCTTCTGTAACAGTTGACAATTATTGTACATTTTATTCATTTACAAAAGTTAACTGGATATTTTCCACTAACTTGAAATGCCTAGTACCCTGCCTGGGGGAACAACACATCAAGATTGTGATGTGTGCTTTGTGTTTTTCCACAGTTTTGGTTACCCTGACCCTAACTACCTCAGCAGAGTGAAGAATGAGCTGAAAGCCAAAGGCATTGAATGAAGACAGTCTTGAAAATAGAACAGACTAGTTCAGTTGAGATTTTCAACTGTTTACAATAGATCCCTTTTAAAGAGTTGTGAATGACACGGGCTGATCCATAATAACAGTACGCTTTCTAATCAAACATGTATTCTATGAAATCAAGATGTTTGTTGATTAATATTTGCCATATTTACAATATCACTGTACCCTCTGAGTGGGTTGTTTTGACTATACTAATGTACTACAATAATATTGTGGAAAATAGTTGTTGGTGTCTGGAACCATTTTGGTCAAGATTCTTTATTTTTGAAGCCATACATTTGTCTAAACAAATGGAAACTTTTGGGGTTTAGTTTTGATTGGTGTACCAGTAGTTCATACTTTTTTTAGATACAGTTGAAGTCGGAAGTTTACATACACCTCAGCCAAATACATTTAAACTCAGTTTTTCACAATTCCTGACATTTAATCCTAGTACAAATTCCCTGTCTTAGGTCAGTTAGGATCACCACTTTATTTTAAGAATGTGAAATGTCAGAATAATAGTAGAGAGAATGATTTATTTCAGCTTTTATTTATTTCATCACATTTCCAGTGGGTCAGAAGTTTACATACACTCAATTCGTTTTTGGTAGCATTCCCTTTAAATTGTTTAACTTGGGTCAAACGTTTCGGGTAGCCTTCCACAAGCTTCCCACAATAAGTTGGGTGAATTTTGGCCCATTCCTCCTGACAGAGCTGGTGTAACTGAGTCAGGTATGTAGGCCTCCTTGCTCGCACACGCCTTTTCAGTTCTGCCCACAAATGTTCTATAGGCTTGAGGTCAGGGCTTTGTGATGGCCACTCCAATACCTTGACTTTGTTGTCCTTAAGCCATTTTGCCACAACTTTGGAAGTATGCTTTGGGTCATTGTCCATTTGGAAGACCCATTTGCGACCAAGCTTTAACTTCCTAACTGATGTCTTGAGATGTTGCTTCAATATATCCACATAATTTTCCTTCCTCATGATGCCATCTATTTTGTGAAGTGCACCAGTCCCTCCTGCAGCAAAGCACCCCCACAGCATGATGCTGCCACCCCCGTGCTTCACGGTTGCGATGGTGTTCTTCGGCTTGCAAGCGTCCCCCTTTTTCCTCCAAACATAACGATGGTCATTATGGCCAAACAGTTCTATTTTTGTTTCATCAGACCAGACGACATTTCTCCAAAAAGTACGATCTTTGTCCCCATGTGCAGTTGCAAACCGTAGTCTGGATTTTTTATGGCGGTTTTGGAGCAGAGGCTTCTTCCTTGCTGAGTGGCCTTTCAGGTTATGTCGATATAGGACTCGTTTTACTGTGGATATAGATACTTTTGTACCTGTTTCCTCCAGCATCTTCACAAGGTCCTTTGTTGTTGTTCTGGGATTGATTTGCACTTTTTTTGCATTAAAGTATGTTAATCTCTAGGAGACAGAACGAGTCTCCTTCCTGAGCGGTATGACGGCTGCGTGGTCCCATGGTGTTTATACTTGCGTACTATTGTTTGTACAGATGAACGTGGTACCTTCAGGCATTTGGAAATTGCTCCCAAGGATGAACCAGACTTGTGGAGGTCTACAAAAAAATGTCTGAGGTCTTGGCTGATTTCTTTTGATTTTCCCATGATGTCAAGCAAAGAGGCATTGAGTGTGAAGGTAGGCCTTGAAATACATCCACAGGTACACCTCCAATTGACTCAAATGATGTCAATTAGCCTATCAGAAGCTTCTAAAGCCATGACATTTTCTGGAAATGTCCAAGCTGTTTAAAGGCACAGTCAACTTAGTGTATGTAAACTTCTGACCCACTGGAATTGTGATACAGTGAATTATAAGTGAAATAATCTGTCTGTAAACAATTGTTGGAAAAATTACTTGTGTCATGCACAAAGTACATGTCCTAACCGACTTGCCAAAACTATAGTTTGTTAACAAGACATTTGTGGAGTGGTTGAAAAACGAGTATTAATGACTCCAACCTAAGTGTATGTAAACTTACGACTTCAACTGTACTTGAATGCAGGGTGACATGTAGATTATGACAAAATAAATGTTTTGAATGAATAGAACTATGGAACATAAAAAGCACTGACAGAATAATCAAACAATTATACAGAATAGTTTGCCTGATGACAAACTGAACTGTTTGCTACATACTTCAGACTGAGAAAGGACTGCCATTGTTGACGTTTTTTGTGGTGAAGTCAAAATGAGGAGTGTTGTACAAAACAAAGTGATCAGCTTTACCCACTTTTTTTTTTTTTTTTGTGATTTTTCGGGGGGTGGGGGCTTCAGCACCCCTACTTCCCACGACTATGAAGATGCGGACCATCCTGTTAGCATGCAGTCACTGCTCTGCCTGTCCCATAATTTCCACCAGCCTCGCTCGGCCCGCACTCTGGTGACTTTTTCACTTTATTGCGGGAACTAACGTCCGTGGCGTAGCGATCGGTCAGAGCAAGGAGTTTGGGTAGCCAGGCAACAGAATAGTAACATTGAGTGGAAATCAACATAAATATATTATATAATTACCGGTTGGTGATCTCTCATTAGATAAAGATACTTGCTGGAACTTAAATGTTTGGTTCAGTGCTCACTTATGATGGACAAACGTGTTCTTGTGTGTGATTAACTCGAAAGCTCACCCTTGTTTAAGTTTGCTTTGATTTTTGTTTAATGATTGGCAATGAGAATAAAACATACATTAGACAGTGATCACTTTTTGTGGTTGTATCGTTCACAATATGCCAACTCTAGTCCTGTCTAGCTAGATATGAAAACACAACCAGAGAAGTGACAGTGAGGTTCAGAGGTGACCAAACTGCGACACTAATGGATTGTTGGGCTGCACGATGAGTCAGGATTTTAGCTACCATGCTGACCACACCGATTGTTACAAAATAAATGTACACATACATGTTATTCAGTCATTGCACCAGGGGCGGTGTGTTCAATAGGGCGATATGGGCGACGCACTGCCAAACGGGAAAAGGAAGGGATTTTATTTCTAATCAATTATATCACGGCAACAGTAGTTATCAGTGTTGTAATCTAGACGTCTGGTCTGATCTGCCACTAAATGTCCAATCAAGTCGTGCTTCAAATGGCCCCGCCCGTTTTGGGGCGATTTCAGTCAGGTTGAAAATCGCCCAGAAGTCTCTCATAGCCTCTCATGTAAAATCTATTTTTTTCAAATTTCAGAGCTTTCAATACAATCTCTATGGGTTTCTGAGGGATTGCACTTACGCGCTTTCGTCATACGTAACGTAACTATGAACGTAACTAAGAAAAGAGCGGGTAGCAGCATCAATCAATTCACGTACTACTATCAAGATGGCTATAGCGTTCAGTGCAACTCGATTGTCTCTTTGAAAGAAGTTCACATCAAAGAGACAACCACAAAGTGCAGGAGCGCTTTTTTGAGTTCCTTCCCATCTCGGAATCAACCTCAGTCTCAATCGCCAGTGTGCTTTTGGAGAGACTGAACGGTCTTTTTGCCGACGACGTGAAAGTCAAACTCATTGCGCAAGCTTACGATGGAGCCAGTGTGATGAGGCGAGAGAAGGCAAAAGGTGCGTGAGCATTTCAAGAAAGGCCATTACGTGCATTGCTATGCGCATCAGCTGAATTTGATCATGCAGCAAGCTAAAAAGTAACTAGTAAACTAGTCCTCAGCATGCCTGATTTCAATGAGAAAGTCATTGACCGCTTTTCTGCATTGAAAGAGAGAAGAGAACAGTTTCAGTACAAGTAATGTAGCCTCTCTCTCTCTTTGTCCCTCCCTGTCTGTCTCTTTAACACACACACGCCCAAATCAGTTCACAGTTGATGTTGTTTAAAATAGTTATTTTTCATTTTAAAAAAAGTAAACAATTTTTTTTACAAATCTATACAATTGGCCAGAATATGGTTGTTCATATTTACAAAGCCATACAGATAGTTGTGTTTACCTTTTCTAGAAATTATTTTCAAATTCTGTTTTCAGGCAAAATGTCTATCACTGTTCATTTTCACAAATCTATACAAGAGGGCAGAATATGGAAGTCTATAAAAATTTCTTATTACCAATAACTTGCATCAATGTTTTCAGTAGTGTTGATGATCACAAGTTTACTGGAGAACGGAGACCAAGTAGAGACTTTTGGACAAGGTGGATAATTGTATAATATAAGGCAGTTTATTCAGAGGTAAAGATATCTGGAATAGCGTGCACGGACCCGTTCGTCAAACTCGTAGGGAGTTTATCAGAAGAGAGCCCCGAAACATTGTGTGCTGACATTTTATACAATAAAATGAAGTAGGTTGAATCTAGTAGTTCTGATCTTCTGATTGGTCCTGATGAGTTGGGCGAGGTCCCCTCCAGGTTAGTATCACTGTTGCATTGGCTCTGAGTCGGGTTCTCTGTCTTCAGATGTTCAGCCTAAGAGAAGGGGATTTTTGTGTGTGTGTGTGTGTGTTTAACAGTGATGATGTGTGTGTGTGTGTGTGTGTTATCAGTGATGATGTGTGTGTGTGTGTGTGTGTTTATCAGTGATGATGTGTGTGTGTGTGTGTGTGTGTGGGTGTGTGTGTGTGTGTCCTCAGAGCAAGAACTCGTGAGTTGGAAGAACTGAGAGACCTATGGCGTGGGTGTTGTCCTTAGCCACCTGCTGACAAGGCTGACAAGATAGGACTCTTTTGTCCATTGTATTGAATACAAAGGCCCAACACAAAATGGGTCATGCACAAGATTTTAGTCAGACCAAGCTATAACATTATATATTTACTACGACAGTAGCCTCTATCAAAAGCTCCTGCTTGCTCAGGTGCACATATTTCCAATTCAACCATGAGGCCTTTTTGAAGCAAGTAATGTGTATATCAGTATTGACTTATATGCTGCCCCTGTCTTCATGTTGTTGCTGGACATATCTTTTTTAAAATGTGTGTAGGTCACCTAAATCATCAGAAAAATTGCCCCCCCTGAGAATTTTTTCAGGAGCCGCCACTGCATTGCA